TGACTCATTCGAGGCGCAAGCCTCTGAGTGTCATGGTCACCATTTTGCTACATGTACCACGTTTCTGGTACAACAGACCTACCGTCAGCCAACTAGCTCCGGTCCCCGCCGCCTCTATCCTGTTTCTATCCCTAATAAAAACTCTATGATTTGCCATGTCCTAGTCTATTGTGTGCCAACCCACAAATGTTGTGGTACAGTTTGTTTTGATTTGGTTCAATGTTGAACCACAATATTTGTGGGTTGGCACACAAGAGACTAGGGCATAGGAAATAATAGGCTTGGTATTATAGATAGAAAGAGGATAGAAACAGTGGAAGCTAGAGCTGGTTGGCTAAAAATAGTCGTGATTCAAGGATTACGTTTAAGATCAAACAAGTCTATTGTTAACCAAACAGCTTAAGTCTCCACCTCGTCTTTCCTGTTTCTATCCATAATACCATGACTATCACTTCCTACCAATATGACCATGTTGCGAAAACAAGGTCAAACAACCTGTTGTGGACTTTTGTGTGGTCGCAGTCTCCTTTCGTTGTATAGAAGTTGTTTGACCTTGTTTTCGCAACTTGGTCATAAGTAGGAAGACTTAAAGGAACACACCTAGTCCGGAGTCCATAGTATGCATCATCATTTCCAGAGTAGGACTGTGGACGTGGTACATTCCCAGTTAGGAAGACTGATAGAAACGCACCTTGTCCTGAGTCCATTGTATGCATAATTATATCCAGAGTCGGACCGTGTGAAGATTTAGAGGAACGCATCTTGTCTGGAGTCCATTGTATGCATGATAGTTTCCAGAGTCGGACCGTGGACGTGATAAATTCCCAGACGATTCGCCTGTATTGTAGTCGATATCGTCAGTAAGCATTGCCATTGTTAGCACCACACTACAATTCATCAGAGACAAGAGAAGCCGATCCTTTGAACAATTGTCTGCTAAACAATCGTGGTATCTCTCCTTCCGACCTGGGATAACCACTAATCCTATAGCCTCGTGATACCCACAACATTTGTGGGTTTCCACACAAATACCATGATTGTTTAGCAGAAAATTGATTAAAGGATCGGTTTCTCTTGTATCTGACGAGTTTTAGTGTGATTCTATGAATAACAATGTTCACTGACGATGTCGGCGAAACGTCCTGGAATGTACCACATCCACTGTCCGACTCTAGAAATTATCTTGCTTACAATGGACTCCGGACTAGGTGTGTCCCTCTAAGTCTTCCTACCTATATGACCAAGTTGCGAAAACAAGGTCAGACTACTTCTATACAACGAAAGGAGACTGCGACCACATAAAAATGCCACACCATATTGGTCTTCATACCTTCGATTAATTTTTTTAATGTTTAATGTTCAATTCAATTTGTGTTTAACAACTTTCATTTGCCTACTTAAACATTAAGACTCAAAGCTCGTTTGAAATTGATGAAGGCTACTTATAAACCGTCTAAAATGTTGTGAAAACGTATTTAGATGCTTAGAATAGTCATTTCTTCTCTCATGTTTAAAGGAAATTTATACATTTTCTTATCCTTCTAATAAATGTCTTAAATAGTTCCAAATTAACGCAAAGGTATTCTTAACCTTTTTTCCAGGTTATATGCGCCTGCGGACGGGATATAGGCGACGACGAAGGGCACAGTCTTACCCGAAATCTGCGCAAACGTCGTGAGCAGCGACACAAATTTAATCAGGTCCGAAAGGCATTGCCCAATAAACCCACTTTCATATCAGGGCTACTATCGAGGTCTGACTCGCGGCGTTGCGAGCAGTCTGCATCTCCTCAGCTATGCGGTGACTCTGTTGCTGCTTGCTCGCACAGCTTGGATGCAGTGTCAAATTCCTTATGCTTTTCGTCGACTCGATGCACGTCCCAGCTGCCTGCTTCAATCAGGCAGACACCAGATATCATCGATGCAGGCCCTTCCTCTTGTCATTCTTCTATTCAGCTGGTTCGAATTTTGCCACACCCACAATTACAGAAAGGGTTATCTGAGTCAGGTGAAGCTCAACATTCTGTCGCTACGGCGGGACTCGGTGATGATATTAAGTCCAATTAGGAGAAAAGGAGCTGTTTCAGTTGAATTAAAAAAGAGGTGGTTATCAACAGTATTGAAATACTTTAAGCAATTTATACTCTGAAATTTGAATTTAGAATGCTTCACTTGTACACAATATTATTTTAGTAAAGGAAAGTTAAATAGAAGTTGTTTGACCTTGTTTTCGCAACTCGGTCATATTGGTAGGAAGACTTAAAGAAACGC